TTAATTGTACTATCACTCCATCGTCAGGTGGTGGATTTGAAGTATAAGAACGGCGTGGCCTCGCTGGCAATCAACGAGGTGTTCCCCGAAGACGAGGGCGAGTACTCGTGCAAGGCCGTCAACAGCAAGGGGGATGCCGAGACCAAATGTAGAGTTAGCGTCAAGCGTGAGTGTTGTTTTAATTTTATATGTAGACTTAGTGCTCAAATTGTTTTGCGGTATTTGTTTGCTGGGAATTTGGGTAAAAATATCCAAGTTATTAGGGTTTTGAAATAAAATCATGGAAAATCTTAGAAATAAAAATGTGGACTTACTTTTGTGTGAGGTTTTTTTTTTGTTCATCCCAATGTTTAGATATACACAGCCACATTTTTTTTTGTAACCTTTTTTGTATCACTATTCCCATGATATAGTATGTTTCACTTGAATGCTTTATTCTGAATGCTGCTATTGGTCTAACGTAGAGATTCACTGAATCCAATGAAAAATATTCATAAGTGTATTTTCTGCAGTTACCCAGGTTACTGATTACGATTAACCTATAATTGATTTTTGGTTTATACATATTGGTCATGTTCAACATCAAGAACGTTCTCCCTTTTAGCTATGGACAGCAGCGCGGCCGGTGGCGCGCTCAAGACGGGCGACAAGCCGCCGCGCGTCGTGGACCACGCGCAGTCGCAGACCGTCAACGACGGCGAGGCGGTCACGCTGTCTTGCAGGTTTGTCAAGCAAAATTGATGGTGACAGCCATGCAGTTTACATATATATGGTATGAAGTACTTTTATAAATGACTGCCCGGAGCTTACATAGAAAGAATAAAAAAAAAGGACGATACATTGCTAACGTAGATAATAACCTGAAAGGAAAATGAGGAAAATTGTTTTGTGTTTGATAATTTTTCGATAAAAATCAATAACTATACAACATGGCGTTAGCCTGTTCTCGGCTGCATTATTGCCATTGTAAAACGATTCACCTAAATGCGCAAACTTCATCGATGGTAAAACTCCTATCGGAATATGTTAAATTCTTACAGAACGGAATACAAAGCTCGCGAGTTCTATTCTCACTGATTTCACTTTAGTACTGTATGTTTTTCCTCGTGTTTTAAAAACTTTGAATGGTAACTTTCATTAAAATCGCTCAAGCAATTCTATATCAATGAATATCGGAAGCGTAGCGTTGAAGACAAAGCGATAGCTTGTTATCAACTAGGCAATAACACAGCTTGTAATAGCCAAATAAATGACCTAACGACAGTTGAAGAACTATTTGTTGCGGTTTTTCGTGGAATCAGGTTATGGGAATATTACTGTACAGATTGAATAAATGAAGGAAAATTAGGTACATACGTAACTAATGTATTTAAATTGTTCACATATTAAAGGTCTATCTGTTCATACAAGTAAAAAGAAGAAAACTAATATTTTTCAAGCGAAAATATTCTATTACTGTTACCAGTTTCGCACAGTAGGTCTGATACGTCACGATAGATTGAAATGACACGTCGCGATAGATGACCTACTTGAAATGTGTTGTCGTCTTCCATATAATCACTTTGAACCCGTTGTTCATGTGGGAATGAATTGGTTTTGTGCAGGATCGTTGGCGCTGAGAGGTTCGATGTCGTGTGGCTCCACAACAACAAGGAGATCAAACCGTCCAAGGACTTCCAATATTCGAGCGAGGCCAACATCCACAAGTTGCATATCGCCGAGATATTCCCTGAGGATGCCGGTCAGTATTTTATTTAGTATCATGATTTATTACTAGATGGCGTAATATCATTATAGTCAGTTTTAAGGTGTATAAATTATGCTTCGTATATTTTTTTACGTTCCGGAACTATATACCAGCTCGAAAGGCCAGCAAAAAAATGGCGATAGCGTGAATTTATACTTTTTCTCATGGTCTTGTATTTTTCTGAAGTTTTCGCGTTTAAATTGTGTAATAATTTTAATAGACACAGTGTGAAATGAAAAGTATTAAAACTACGACGTTAACACGTTACAAAATCGATTTGTTGTATTTTAATTATTCGAGTTACTGTTGCAAGATTGCCTGCTGAAGTAATTCTAGTTTTCAAATTATACCAGTTCTTGCTTCTAGATGGCGCGGTGTAATATTATATATTTATTCTGTCTCTGTTGTTTGGTTGGTCTGCAACTAACCATTCAAACTGTCGATTCTGACAATGACTCGACTTCGATATAAAAAATTGTCAATCCTTAAAAGTAATTAAAGTAATTTTCAATTATGAAATTTATTATGACATTCCTATTTTTTCAGGTGTCTACACGTGCGAAGCGTTCAACGACGCCGGAGAGTCATTCTCGTGCTGCACCGTGACGGTGGTCGTGCCCGGCGACACCCCCGCCGCGCCCAAATTCACTGCCTACCCTCACTCGGCCACGGTGGTGAGCGGCGAACCCGCCGTGTTCACGGCGGAGTTGGAAAAGGTCGGTTGGGATCGCGTTCATGATTATCATAATGTCTAAACTTAGATTTGCCTAGAGATTCTTTAAAATTAAACAGTATTTATTCCTCATCCGAATTAAGGGTTGTTGTAAATTTATTGCTATTTACAAATAAATGTATATTAAGAGAGCTTAACTGTTTTCTGAAAAGCCAGCAACTGGTGGCTCTGGGTTTGCGGGTGTCTATGGCCGGCGGTGACCATATGCTTTCTAGTGGCCCACACACTTGTTTTTCTCTTAAAATTCTATAAAAAAAAATAATGGATGCTTAGAACACCATCAATCATTAAAGGAGACGTTTCGCGAAGTATGACACTGGGCTAGGTCGTCGTATATTAAAAATATACAAATTCCCATAGGCAAGTGTTGTTTAAAGCTCTACAATATATAATCTGAGTTCAACAATTGCAAGGGCTGGATATCAATATAGTGAATAAAAGACTTGCATCCAAATTATTACATTTAAAAAAAATTGAGGATGGATAGCCGACTAGAGGAAGTACTACTACATTACGTCGTGATTAACATATATCAACTGTCAATATGCTCAATGTTGATTTTGTATATTGTGAAATTTTATTTAGTCGTAAATTGAGATATTTTTCAACAATGAATATAGTAAATAATAAAAAAATTCGTATTTTTCTTGTACCTCTTACATTTTTTGCTATTTTTTTTTTTTGATAAGGTATAGTCTTTACTTAGTCCAGGATGAAACTTCTTCAATATTTTACGTATCAAGCAGAATTTAACGCATCTGATTTCTCCCACAGCCACCGCTCGAACTGCAATGGCTGAAGGACGGGAAACCCATCGACGAGACGTCGGCCAGATATAGATTTACGATGGAAGAGAACTCTAAATATAAGCTAGAAATCGTGAAATGCAACCCCGACGACGCTGGACAGTACCAGGCGCGCGCCATCGGCAGCAAGGGCGACACTCTGGCCGCTTTCTATCTGAACGTTGCCGATTTATAAATATTTCGTACCTATGCATGGTAATGGAAAATTAAATAGAACGTGTCAAAAAAAAAAATTACATACGAATTTGATTAGTGCCACAATTTAATATAACCGCGTAACCATGTTCTATTGATTTTCTATGTTTATACTTAAAAATGACTGCCATCTCGATATTTACAAAAAATATAAAAGATTACTGGAACCAGAGTGTCGCCTTGCGGCACCCCACACCTCTGTTGAGTCAAAATCAAACTAAACAATATAAATATTTCGGTATGATTACTTATTAAGATTCGGAGTCTTAAGTGTGTAAAGATCGTTTTTTTTTTTACATAAACTATTTATTTAAGTACGTTAAGTTTTACACCTTGTCGAATGCCTATGAGATGTCGCTGATTGGACGATCGAATCCTCTTCTAGTCACTGTTACAATTTTAATGTTATTTATTGAGGGTATCCGTTGTTAATTTTCGTTTTCTTCTATCGTTAATTAATTTATTTATTTATTTATCGTCCTCTCCTAACAGAATTTTGCGCAGCAGCTTCCTTTTAATAATCCAGCTTAAGATTTAATCAGTGTTGTTGAAGGCGGAGGCCGTTAGCGACTAAAGTCGGCCGTTCCGAGAATATTTTTTCAAAGCCACCAAAATATTTTCTTAACGGCCCGCTCAAAGGCGCCCGGCCGAAGTCTTATATTATTTTTATAATATTACATTAATTGTACATAATTAATTTATATCATGTGACAGCGTAATTTATAAATAAATATATATATGATTCCCTTTTGTTTTATTATTGACTACGTGCGAAGTGTATGGTGGGAGAAATACATTCGACCGCAGCGCTCGCTGTGGCAACAACAGGAAGATTATCGGAAAATGCAGTACATTTTGGGTAAATTGTGTGAAACTGTATTTTGTGTGAAACATTGTATGATCAGAATGAGGCTTAATATTTATCATTGAAAATTGAAACTATGCAAAAATAAACTCATAAAAAACTGATGAGGTGTCTTTTGGGAAACCTGGTTGGAACGATGTGCCTTTTGCTATTTTATGTAAATATATTTTATGAATTGAATAATAACAATGTAAATAATTAAAACGTTTGAAAGTGGTTAAATAAATAATAAGTAAATAAATGTAAAGAAATACTTGTAAGTTGTAAATAAGCATTTTTTTTTTATTAATTATTAAAATTCTAAAAATAAGCACTAAACAGCGCCATCTGTTTTATTTATTAAATACTTTATTAAGTTCGCCAATTTGCACTATTATATAATATAAAATCAATAATAGATATCACTTTCACATATTTGTATGAATATCGAAAGTTTAAAATTGAATACTCTCCATAACTGAAACAATCCAAGAGGTTCATTTAATATTTTAGGAAAAAAAGGGAATTACAAATTATATACAAGCACAATGAAATAAATCAACAACCTTCGAAAGTAATGAAATGCAAAATACAAGCAAAAGAATGGTAATAAAATGTATAATTAATATTTTATTATAAATTAGCATAAAAAAACGCAACATCAAAAAAGCCAATAGCACGCCGTGTTCCCAGGCGATTACCCATCCCAAGTTCTGATCACGCCTGACGCTGCTTAACTTCAGTAATCGGACGAGAACCGGTGTACTCAGCGTGACATGGATGTCGGAAACAAATTTATTATATAAACTAAAGCAACAGCTGTAAAAAAAATTCGTTGCGGTGACACTTTTTTTCGTGTAGCTCCTATCCGTCGAGCGCGTGAGTGTAAAGTGTGATAAGAAACTTCGTTCCAATAAAAGTTGAATAATTGTACTAGATAAAAATGTGCCCTGACATCAAAGCGTATCAAAAATTAAAAAAGACTAATGTCAGGGAATATTGGCTACTGAGGGACGGTTCCGTCTTCACAGAACCACAGTTTCATAAATATTTAGACGGAGTTTATAAATTTTTAGCCTTTGCTATAGCGAATTTAGTTTCTTTGAGTAAATTACCTTCTATATTATGCGAGCTACAACGCTGTTTTTCGTTCAATTTAAGGCAAAATATTCATATTTAAAATATTAATACAAATATCCACAATTCATATTTATTATAATAATAATAGAGATAATTATATTATTCTTTACTCCTATTCCACAAAAAAATCCACAGTAAACATTGTCTTAGAGAAGAGATTATTCCTTTCAAATTGATGTCTTCGATCGAAGAAACAACAGCACCCGATCGATTATAAAATCTCTATTAGCTGATTGTTTAATTGTCAAAGATTTAGGGATATAATATTTATTATTTCATGAAATGCAAATGATTGTCTATCAAAGTGGAAATAATTAAAATGTCATGGCTATAGTGAAAACAGCAACATATAATTATTTTCATTATGAACAGTGAAACGAAACTAAAAGATACTGTTGCTGTTTAGTTGTAGTTGTGTTTTAAAAACAGAATAATTAATTATTAAAATAATAAACAATTCTATAATCAGTATTTTTAATATTTCATAAACATACAAATGTTGGATAAATCCCGAAAAGTTGCGGACGCTACTGTCGTGCACATAGCCAATACAATTCGCTAAAATTTTCTAATCGTTGTTACTTATTTTTCATTAACGATTCCTAAATATTGCCATAAAAATTTTGCATATTTGCGCGATGACCTTGTACGATTTCAGAGACCTCAAATGACATTAAAAGGAAAAAAATCCTTTCCAAAGCGACTGTTTACTGCTGGCTTATCTAATTTTAATACTGCCAAGTAACTCGTAAACTAGTACTGCCAAATAAGTCCAAGGGTTTTTCAAGCACTTTTAAAGGGCCGGTACAGCAGGCGCGCCACTAGCACCCCTGCCGCTCTCGGCGTCTCTCACGAAATCCTACCATATCCTACTGTATTTCCAGGTTTCATACGTTTTATTGCTTCCACAATTTCTTCAATGCTAATTTCAAAATTGCAAAGTAGAACTAAAGGTTGCTAATGAAACGTTGAAAGTTATCTGCACGTTAGTAATCTAACGTTTACTCCTGGACATTTAAACTTGGAAAAATAAGTAAAATTCTAAAAAACACTTTTTTTAGGGTCCGAGCCAAAATGGAGGAACCTGTATAGTTTCCTCGTGTCCATCCATCCGTCCGTCTGCCTGTCTGTCTGTCCGCATATCACAGGAATTTTGATCAAAACCTATTAAACTTATATTGGTGAAATTTATAGTGTAGATGTCTTTTGTAAGCCAATACTTAGTTTGGTGGTTAAACAACAAAAATAAATAATTCTAGTGTGAGGCACACCATACATGTAATAGAAGCTGAAAAAAATTTTTTTCAGTAAACATCAACAAGGAGCACATATTTAGACAGTTTTTTTTAATAACACTTTACGATTTCTAAGCAACTTTTCTGATTACGTGGAACAATCGCTCATTACAGAACTACAGGACATTCCATAATTACAGATACTGTCCCCCCCTCTATTTTCTAAATCGTATGTCCAAAAAAGTTGACAAAAATAAGGAAGATAACGCGTAATAAATACTTTCAACGAAAATTGTTTTGAATACTATCGTATATACTGTTTTTCTGTCGCTTATGCTTTGTGAAGTAAAAATAAGCCGTTTGGAAATGAAAGTTTTAAATTATTACGATATATTTGTTTGAGTATTTAGTGTTGTTTGTTTTATTTTGATATAAGTGATCTGTGTTACCTTGATAGTCCATGGTTTCAGATCGGCAGCGGCAAACAGGAAAACACACAACACTTAAGACTTTTGCTGATATGAACACACGACACAATACAGCGGATAATTGATAAGGAGTGTAGAAGGGAGAGGAGTATTAATACAATACTATAACACGATTATTAAACATAAAATATGAAGTAAACGATATAATTGTGAAATGTAAAAAAACTGCTAGACGACATACCTCGGTGTTGAAGGTTTTTCTTTTCTTTATTGATAAATAATGTGTGGATATAATTTAAAAGATAATAAGATGTGATAAATGATCTGCGTGTGTATGTATCTATTAATGTAAAAATATAAATCGTTATAAATAATAAATGTAGCTGAACAGTTTACAAGTAAAGTAGTAATTGATTGTAAAGTACCGTCAAAATATTGTGTATAATTGTCTTTATTCAAACTCTTAGCTAAAATGTAGATAAAAACTATTATATCTTTTTTTAATAATAATGAGACTGGTATATAACTTATAGCATTATTACAAACCGGGAAAATATTTATGAAACAAATAAATACATATTTATTTTATTTTATTGATATATTCGCAAAATAGTTATTACAAACAGATAGATTAGGGAAGCTTACTGATATTTAGAACATTTTATTTTTAATGAATTGAATAAGTTGACTGGACATGATGACTAAAAATGAAATCAAAATTAAAATCGATTAATAAACTATGAACCATAATCCATTAAAAACAGAGTTTAATATTACTATTCCACATAGCTCTTGTAGATAATGACGTCACTGGGTACTAGTTCATTCTGTGTCTAATAGTTATCTAATACAAAAAAATGCTTTCGCTATATTTTTACTCAAATAAATAAGCTTTAGACGACGTAATACGTACAAAAATAGAAAAGTACACAATTCTGGGATTGTGTGTCCAAAAAAAATTCAACTCTAATGCATATTTTTAAGGGCTCTTTTTCCATTACCGTTCTTTTTACATTTATCCTAAAGTATCGATGCAACATCCCTTCTTTGTCTGTAACGCACTAGAATAGATTTTTCTAAATTAATGACGTTAGTCTTATAATTTCTAACTAAAATCCTAAATAGCATCTTATTCGTGGTGTCGACTTCAAAAACTCCAAGATACCTAAACTTAAAACTTAGTTTTAGGTTTTATGAAAACTTAAAATGGCAGTGTAAAATATAAAGTAAAAAATGAATATTATTTACTTGAACGTCACATACATCTCTCCTCTACATCGAAAACGGAATATTAAAAATCATTGTTTTTTTTTCGTGCGAAGCCGGGCCGGATCACTAGCGGAGCAAAGATGTTAGTAAAATACAGTTAGGGCCAGTCAAAACCGAAGAGCATGTGTTTTTATTATTTCCGTGGTAAAATACATTTGAATGTTGGAATCGTTACTGTTATAGGCACTAGATGGCGACACCTGTAGTATCGTTTTACTAATCGCATAGTTTCTATCATAGAAAGTAAAAACAATTAACTTTACTAGTAAAAAAGGAATGTAAGAGATATTCGATTTCGGTTTATGACTTCGTAAACATTATCGAAAAATGGAGAAATATAGAGAAATACCAGAAAAAATGTGTAAAATATTATTTATTTATCTTCATTGTACACAAATATTTAATAAGATTTACCCAGTAATAAATACACTACCAACATGACGTATTATGTTGACAGTTCATAAATTTAACGTCGATCACGATATATAGCGATATTGCTGCTTTGTCCATCTGCCTGCCTATAAATTTTTTCCTCATGTTATAGCTTAAATGTTATTTTATTTGTAATTATTAATCTCAAAATAAATATCCTACTGCTACAGACAACACCAGATTGTGGGAATTCCTAATAAAAGATATTGATTTTCAAAAATTTTTGTGTACTATACAACTATTTAGCCCAGGGTTGTCACACTTTGTGAAACGCATCCTTTACCGAAGTGGGTGTTTATGTATAGAAGTACGAACGAAGTAAAGTTTAACTTGAGTTTAAGGTCAAACGGAATTTAAAAATAAAGTCGTAACGGTCATTATGTGGGCCAGAATTAAGAGTTTGATTCGTATCGAGACGCACTGAAACTGGTTAATTAAAGGTTCAATTTCTCGAAGCATGGTGCAGGTGATGAAAAAGGGGCTTACAATTTAATTTATTGTAAAAAATTTAAATAAAAACATTTCGAAAAAATAGTTAATGCATTTCATTCAGTTATTGTTTATCATTATAAAAAAAACGCACACAATTGAGATTGCGCGAGAAAAATTTCATTCAGTGTGTCACAGAAAGTTTTATTTCTTGCTAATTTTTTTTAAAGGTGTCTTGATTATTGATTGATGCAAAATATTTGCTACTTTCTCTAATTTGAAGCTATTTCTAAGCATTAATTACCAGCCGTGTTATACAGTCGCTCACACATTTTGAGATTTCGTATCGCTTCAATATGCATCCCATTGACGGGAGAGGTGTAAGAAAACTTAAAATCGAAAGCGAAAACTCAAAACGCCGCAGGCGCGCCCTTGACGGTACACCGCGAAGGAGCGCGCGGAGTGCGCGCCCGCGCAATGTTCTTTATTTATAAGTAAAATATATCGGCCCGCGTATTCGCTGCGTTCACCCATACATATGGATTTTATGAATCTGGACAAGAAGTCCGTGGAGTCGCACTCCGTATAATAATTATTATTGAAATCGGTTTTATGTGTATATTAATTTTGTATTGTCGTATATATGTATCGTGAACTACGGGTATATAATATAATTTCCATGAAGTTTCATCCATGTCTCTTTTGGACGTCAAGCAATAGATTAGTTTAATAGACAATATAATTTTTTGTGTTCTTAACTCACTGACTTGGCCATTTCTAAAAGCGTTTATTTATTGCATCACATCTTACAATAAATATTAGGGGTTTTATTTAGTCTGCAAAACTACTGC